CAGGAAGAAACTGTGCTACAGGGTATGATTGATAGACTAATCGAAATTGGAAGGTGCTATGGCATGGAAATGAATGTGGAGAAAACAAAAGTAATGAAAATTTCGAGACAACCAACCCTAGTCAAAATAAAGATAGACCAAAAACAAGTGGAGGATGTGAAATGTTTTATATATTTGGGTAGCTTGTTAACAGATGATGGAAGGTGTACTAGTGAAATTAAATCCAGGATTGCCATGACAAAAGCTGCATTTAGCAAGAAGAAGAATCTTTTTACCAGCAAATTGGACTTAAATTTGAGAAAGAAACTAGTGAAATGCTACATTTGGAGCATTGCTTTGTATGGGGCTGAAACTTGGACGCTTAGGGCAGTAGATCAGAAACACCTGGAAAGCTTCGAAATGTGGTGTTGGAGAAGGATGGAGAAGATCAATTGGACCGATTATGTGAGAAATGAAGTGTTACTTAGAGTCAGTGAGCAGAGGAATATCCTACACGAAATAAGAAAACGGAAGGCTAATTGGATTGGTCATATCTTATGCGGTAACTGCCTTCTAAAAGAAGTTATTGAAGGAAAGATAGAGGGGTGGATAGAAGTGACTAGAAGACGTAAGAAGATGCTGGATGTCCTTGGGGACAGAAGAGGATATTTTCATTTGAAGGAGAAAGCTCTAGATCACATCAAGTGGAGGAACTCTTTTGGAAGAGACTGTGGACCTGTCATGTTGACAGATTACTGGTGAATGAATGAATGAATGATGGTACTTTGGAACCCGAATGTATTATTTTTCAGTTTATTTTTATGCCTCATGTAACATTCTGGCCCACACAGTGTTACATCCCAGAAGACAGCACTCTTCAAATACAGAATTGTTTAAATTATTTGAAGTCCTATATTTAACCAGTGTTCTAGACACAAATTTTATGACATTGTATGAAGTGAAATATGAAATTCAGTGACAGTTAAGACTGACATCAGATGTAGCACAGCACAGATGTAGATGGAATTAATTTCTGAAACTGAATGTAATCTGAGTCGTTAGGTTTTAGAACAGTTTATATTTCTTGAATTCAGGAAGTGAAATTAATATGTGTAGGGGCTTTGGGAGTAGATTTTGTGCAGTAACATTTTGAATCAGAGCACTTCTATAGTTGTATTACTCAACATTCAGCATTGGAATATTAGATACTATTGTAGGCTGGTTGCAGTTCCTTTACAAGTAAACTGTTAATAAGATCTAAAAGTCTGTGATGATGGTACAGTAGTACAAATATTATGTTTTTGGATGTTATCGTCTTGTCTGTATCTAAAAACCGTCCTGTTTATTTTTCAAAACACATTTCGGAGACTGAATTCTGTCTCTGCCTTCATGTAAAACCTACTCAGTTGGGCCCAATCGATAGAGCTAGTCCCTGTCTCCAGAGATAGGGAGGATTTTAGATAAAGGCAAGACGATGGATAATGTCCAAGAACATAATATTTGTAAGTAAACTGTTACTTGCTTTTATTTAGAGCAAGCTGTATCTGTAGACTAAGGTCTTATGGGTAGTAACACTATGTAGTTGAGAGAGAGCCCAATGTTTCAGAGGAATGTATGGCCCCAGTCTTCAGGGCTGAAGAGTAAGCCTAGCGAGAAACCAGTAGAAGCAGGTGGTAAGCTAAAGTTTGCACCTATACCACACAATTCAGATACTTCTCCTTTTACTGAAAAGGGCTGTCTGTCTTCCTGCCCGCACTCACTGGGTGTGAGTGACATCATTTATTGCAGCCTGCCTATATAACTAACTCAGTGCCTCACACTTTAACATTGAAGATGGAGGTAGCATTTACCTATGATATATCAGTATCTGCCTACAAGACTAGACAGTCTCACAACCCAGAAGACCACAATGTGAATAGTCACTTCTTCACAACTTTTCCACCAACTACCGAAGTTACTGAGCAGTATGACTCCTTATTGATGATGTGTATATTCAGTGAACTGTCTGTCATGTTCTTAATCTTCATGGGACAGAAATAATTTGGTGTAATTTTGGAGAGTGATTGAAAAATCATAGGTCTGGAAGAAATGATTAAAACAAAAATTGATGCATATGGAACAACAGTTTTCATAGAATTTGGTGGAGGACAAAATACCCCAAAGAGTTGATGGTTGTCAGTCTTACAGGGGTATTTTTTTTTTCCAGGTTGGTATGGAGGACAGCAACATCCATCTCAGTTTCCAACAAATCTCTCTGGAAATATATTTTCATCTGGAGGTTTTTCAGGTGGTCTAAACACACTTCCTACACCTCAGCCTGTTGATAATCAGAGCTTCCAACTTCAAAAACCACCTCCAGGAAACAAAAGAGGCAAGCGATAAAGTCATAGTATATGTAGTAGGGTTTGCCGGGTTCTTCTGTTGTGAGCTTTTTGAGAATGTCTGCATCATAATTGTAGATTTTTGGGACTGTAACGTATCTCATTTAATATTAATTGTAATTAGATATACAAAAGTGAATATTTGTTTTCACTAAATCTTCAAAGGAATAAGCGATGGGTAAGAAGTGTGACCCCTTTGTGACTATCCTATGTCATGGAAGTACTGTTTTATGATAATAAATTCATTAATACCTTGGGAATGAGTTGTGTTGTATAATTTAACTGTACATCTCATGAAGCATCATGGAGACATATATTAGCAGTAATGCTTATGTCACAGTTATTCTTTTGTGAATGAATGAATGTAATTAATAAATTATTTTTTTGCATTCAATGTAATTTATTTCAAATGCCCACTCACGTTTTTATGTTCAGACTGAAGCTGTATAAACATGTCCTGCAGAAGACATGGACTGCATTTAAAACTCAAATGCTTAGTTCAGAGCAATGCTGTGTAGCTGATTGTGTGTGGATGATTTACATAATTAAAAGAAAAAATAACATCTCATATTTCCATATAATAATTGTGTTACAAAATACAGGACCAGAAATAAGACAGAACCTTATCTGCTTGTTAAAGTGATACTCCAGTTCTGTATTTTAATCCTTTGAAGCTGAAATTCTTGTAAATAAAGCAACATTTGGGGTTCTCAGAGCATGGGGTGTGAAGCTCTATAGTCTGGTGGAAGTTTACTGTTGTTTCAGAGGAGGGTTCAAGAGTGCAGTAGCTTGCTTATTTGCTAGGTCATCTTACTCTTCAAGCCAGAAGACAGAGGCATCATTGTGCTTATATCAGAATACACAGTGTCACATCCCAGAAGCTAGTATGCTTGATCTAAATAATATTTAAAAAGTTTGTTCTGACTGTACAGAAAACACACTGCATCTCCATTACAAAGATCATCCATTATGTTCTGAGAATCATACAGGACACATAAATACATTCTGTGGGCAAAGTGCTTAATTTCAGATGTAAAAGAAGGTTGTATATATACAGTATTCAATACATTATAAATGTTAAGTCTTGGTTTTTTTAACTTTAGCCCTTAACTCCCTTCTTGGTTGGCTTCTATTTCACTGTATTTAAAAGCATTTAAACTGAATTTTCTCTAGCCTCATAGTTATTTGATTATTTAGTGCACATTTTATGAATTTTGTTCCATAATATAAAGCTGGTATTGTGTTCGCTACAATAAAATATATTGTTGTCTAATATTAACCTGTTGTCCATTCCATTTTAAACCCTCATATAAAGAGCTCTTAGTCCAGGGTTTTTTAAGACAAGAATTTATTATGTATGAAGGGTCAGATACTTTTTGCTGCTCTGTTTTACTGTGTTGGAAGGAGCAGAGGGTTCAGTGATGTGTGTGGCAATGTGTGTCCCATGGCATATATTTTCATTTCTGGGTCTGTACACATGTTACAATAGTCTGTGACTGAAGAAGGAACATTGCCTAATTCTGCAAGTGACTGCCAAAAAAATTTCCACTCAGTGTGGGATTGTCTTGTGCATTTGATCTGGAAGTATCTAGAAATATCAAAATCTTTAGATTTTTATGGAACATTTGGCTTTGTGCTTTCTTCTGTAAGTAAGTAATGGCAATATTAAGTAGGAGGAAAGTAAAACTCTCGATTTATGGCATATGCTAAACAGTTTGGTCTAGACAGAATTATTTAACAGTTGAATTAATGATATTACAAGGTCAAGGTAAAAGGTAAAGCTATCCCTGTAACATGCCCTGGAGGCCCATAGGTTTGTGAGATGTCAAGGCTCCCACATTTTCTCTAGACATTCAGCTCACAGATGGTGGTGAAGTTGTCAACCTTACAGGCTGGCTGCCCTTTACCCCTGGGAAGATTCCTGGTACTCATTTCTCTTAGAGGCTGAGTGGACCCCAGGGCCATAGTGTGGTTGGAAGGATTGGGTCAATTGAAAATTCCAGTGACCTCATCGGGAATGGAACCCCGCAACCTTCCAGCTTGTAGCAGAGTGCCTCAACCAGCTATGCTACTGTGAGCTCCTGATATTACAAGGACATTACCAAATCATCAGTATCAGTCAGAATTTTCCATTAAGATGCATAGATCCTGTATTATGAGTTGTATTTCTGTGGAATATTTTGAGATCCCTGGCTTACTGGGACAAAAGTACAACAATGCTAAATATTCATTGTCCATATCACATGACAAGCTGACAGTTCTCATATTTCTATGTTGTATGAAGAAAGGTATCATATTTGACTGATGTGAAACAAAATTAAGTTCAGTCATGTGTACTCTAGTTGCCCAATACCAAATATAATTTAAATATAGCAGGTAGCTTCAGTAAAGAACACATGCATTCAGGCACACAGGACCTCTTCACAGTGTTCATTTTGTGTAGTTTATGCTATGAATTACAATCAGTTCTGCCAGGAGAATGTAAAAACATTCATTCCTTCAAATGTTCCACTAATGCAACTACAGGCTCTTAAAATTTGTTAGGTACTGTATAACCACAAAATTTTGGACCACTCCCATATTTATAATTGTTAATATAAATTGCATCTGTTCCAAATTTCAGTGGTTCATTACGTAAACCAAAAGGTAAATGCAGATTTTGCATGGCAAATGTATTTACTTTCTACACAAACTTTCGATAGTTGGAAAGTAACATACTTGTCACTAAGTTAAATCTGATACGAAGTCTCCATGATTTGCTAATGAATGAGGTTACATTGTGAAAAAAATATAGGTTATATTGTCATGTGCTTCGTGTCAGCTGTAGCTCTGTAAATATGAGGAAGCTAACAGCATAAACACTTCCATTACAAATAATTCAGTATCAACTAATTTAATACGTACCTAAATGGCGTCTAGTACCGCCAAACTTATTGCTGAATTTGTAGTTTTGTTTACCAAACACATCAGAAATCTAATCCAAATTAAACTGCATTAACCTAACATGCACAGTAAAGAAAAAGGTAAAGCTATCCCTGTAACAGACCGTGGAAGCCCACAAGGTTTTGAGACTTTGAGGCTCCCCATATTTTCTAGGCAATCGGCTCACAGATGATGGTGATGTCAGCCTAACGCGCTAGCTGCCCTTTAGCCCCAGGAAGATTCATGGTACTCATTTCTGTTAAGAGGCTGTGTCGACCCCAGGGCAATAGTGGGGCTGGAAAGATTAGGTAAATTGAAAAAATCAAGTGACCTCATCCGGGACCCAAGACCACATTTTTGTTATTATCAGACAGTTACAGTTTTGTCGATGTGGGGCCCCCACAAACACGCTGTGAGCAGACTGTATGATGTAGAGTTTTGGTGTGTTAATTCAGGTGGTACCTGGAGGCCAGCATAGAACATGGGAAACCTACAGTCTTTGCCGATGATACTAGCATTTTTATAGCAGGAAATAGCGCTAACGAAATTCAAAGGAAAACAAATGAAACAATAAACAAAATCACAGAGTGGTTTGAGAGGAATCGATTAACTATTAATAAAGAGAAAACAATAGCAATAGCCTTCCATCATCCTCAGAAACTACAACTTGAATGCCCTCCAATAAAGATTTATGACACTGTTATCAACTACACAGATCACTCAAAATTTCTTGGAGTCTGGCTAGATAAGCCTCTAAGATGGACTATGCATATGCAAAAGCTAGCAAACAACTTATGTAAAGTATGTTTTGGCCTAAGGGTAGCTAGAAGAGTAACTGGACTAGAGACTGTCCGCACGTTATATTATGCTCATTTCCAATATTTGTTATCATACGGACTGATATTCTGGGACAACTCGGTAAATGCAAAATTGATCTTTAAATTACAGAAGAGAGCTATAAGAGCTATGACCTAGGTCCCAAAAACGACTAGTTGTAAACAAATTTTCAAATCATTACATATATTACCTCTACCATCTTTGTACATATACGAAACTCTAATATACATAAAATCCAATTTGAATGATTTCACAACCAACTCAGGATTACACTCATACAACACAAGAAAACAGATGACTTGCACATCGTCCCATGTAATACAAGTCTATGCAAGAACAACTTTAACAATGTAGGACTTGGACTGCTAAATCATCTTCCATGATATATTAAAGAAATACCGGTGCTATATAAGTTCAAAAACGTTTTGAAAACTTACCTACTCGATCATTGTTTTTATAAAGTGGATGAGTTTCTCTCGTGTGAGACAAACACTAAACAATTATAATCACATAATTCGTGAATAATCGGTTTTGGGAATCCCTACTTACTTTTCTTTCTTCCAGCAACCAAGATAACACAGTCGGAGATTTACCTGACTGGGCTATTCTGGAGAGATTGCAGATGCCAAGAAGCTGCACCAGGAAGGGAGAACAGATGTAATGAGATGTTGCAGTGTAGAGTCTACAGTGAAACGTTATACCAATGCTATCACCAAATTCACCAATATTATCTCAAAGGCCGCGCCATAGCTTAAGCTGTTAGTCGCTGGCTTCCCACCGCTGCGGTCTAGTTAAGTGGGATTTGTGGTGAACAAAGTGGCACTGGGGCAGGTTTTCCACCGAGTACTTCAGTTTCCCCTGCCAATCCTCATTCCATCAAATTCTCCATAAGCATTATAACCAGTACAGGTACAGTATGACATATGGAAGCCGACGTGCTGAGGGGACCTAATATGGATTCCACCTTACACCATATGAAATCTAACTATTGTAATCTACTGTAATCTATTGTAAACAGTTTTAAGTATTGTAACTTTATTCTCTTATTGTAATCAGCCAATGTACAGTAACTGACTTATCCTATATCATGTAACATTGATCTATAGAGACAAAATAAATAAATAAACAGTAACCAATGTGCTTTAAAGGTTTAATAAGCATTTTAAGTAGCCTGAATGCTGTGATCGTGCGGATGTGGTATGTGAAATGAATATCTGCATAATCGTTATTAGAACATTTAAAAAATTTTTCTGCACTGCTCTTTGAAGATGGTATGTCGCACAAGACACCTTCCAAACATGCCTAATTGTTAAATAACATTTATGCAGAACAATCTCAATGCCAGACATGCGCAGATGTTTAATTTTGAATATCCATTACTTGATGATGGTGGAATTTACAGTGCCACAAATTACTAGTTCGAACATTTATTGCAANAATCATGGACTTAAATCAGTGCAACAGGACGCTAAAATATAACATTAGTTAACTCTTGTCAGTATTTAACTGTAATATCTATAACCATCATAATTTAAACACTTGTTTATTTAACATTATTTGTCCAAAACCACTTAATTAACAAGCTCCCAAAATTCTGTCACTTCCCCCATCGGCAGTGTTATATATCAACAAGTTTTCATGATATTTGTTAAAAATGCTCTGATTAGACTAGGGAGATGACTACTCGCATCTTAAAAAGATTTATAACCAAAATATTCCTGTAAAGAATAAAAAGAATGTAATTGTAAAAAGCTGATTCAATTGTACCTCAAAACTCTTAGTGTCACTCGATATATCCTTAATATGTTGTGGTAGATTATTATAGACCTTTGTTCCTAAACAGTAAGCTCCCTTTTGGTATTTACTCAAATTTACAAGAGGCTGATGGAGATTATTTTGCTGTCTGGTATTTATTGTATGAATCTCTAATTTACTATGAATTTGTTTCTGTTTTTTATCACAAAGAGCATAAGAGATAGTATGTACAGAGATGCCAGAGGTAAGATTTCTAATTCTCTAAATAAGTTTCTGCACAAATCCCTCCTTCTGCATCGCAACATAATTCTAATTATATTATTTTGCATTCTAAAATGTTTATGCTTTGGGGTGAGTTACCCCAAAAGAGTAAACCATAGTTTATAATAGAATTAAAATAAGAGTGATAAACCATTTTTAAGGTATTTACGGCTGTGTATGGTTTAAGCGATCTTATCATGTAGCAGACTGCACTTAGTTTTGAACTAATATACTCAATGTGGTATTTCCAGCTCATTGTCATGAATGAATATTCCAAGAAATTTAATATTGGATATACATGTAATTTGTTCTTTATCATATACAATTTTTATTTCAGATTTCGGATTATTATTTCTAGCCGTAAATTGAATGAAGTGGGTTTTGTTAAAATTTGGTTTACTTTGAACCATTCATTTATACTATGAAAAGCACTCTTTATATTTATACAGAGATCATCATTGTTTGAACTTTTAACCAACAAACTAATATCGTCTGAAAATAATATAGGTACAGTTTTATCATTTATAGTTTTGGGTAAATCATTTATATAAATGAGAAATAACAATGGACCCAGAATCTGTAATGTTTATACCCCATGAAAACTGAGTTATATATTAGACAAGTGCCTTTCAATTTGTTTCAATTCCGTTTTTCTGAAGGCGTTTTATCAGCCTGTTTTTATTTGTATTTTATAACTATGGACTTTTAATTAGCATTAGCCATATACAGAACGGACCGAAGGTCAATTAACTGGTTGGTAAAATATGAATTAGAACAAGTTAGAAATTTCTTTATTGCCGAATTTATGAAATAATTCTTCGAAATGAGATCCTTCATGTTCAATGCACAACTCACAGCGCTGCGATATTGCTCTACGAATTGAATAGCAGATTTATATCTGAGCATACCACTTAATATGAGAGAGTGTTCTAGGTTAACTGATTTTCGGATCATCTACATTTCTGGCATCACTGGCTGTGATTATGTTGTATGCCGAATATTATTAAGTAAACACCTTTACATTTTCATGTAATTGTTACCTGTAGTTGTTGTCAAATAAAAACAAGAAGAAAGATATTTTTGAAGTTTAAATTACTGAGGACAGACATGGGAAGGAAGCAAAAATTGAAACCGCAGAAATGAAGTCCTTGATGAGAAGAAATGCTACAATTACGGAAGATCGGAACATCTTTAATCTAAATGCTAAAATTATAAAATCAAGATCACAATGGAAATGTCACGCGCAAGGAATGGAAGACAGGCAGGTGCAGAAAAAAAATCATACAACTAAAAAAGATATAACTTAGTGTAATCTGTTGAAAGAGACCTTGCTTGCCATTTGCTTCATACTAATTTCTTGCTTGGCTTATTGTTCGAGTTTATAGATGGAGGCGACCTATTTCTCTGAAACGTCAGATGAACGTTATTCGAAGAGTTCTTCTGTCTTCTGCGATATAACGCCATGTAGTCCGTTGAAATTCATCTGACGTTTCGGAGAAACATGTCGCCTCCATGTATAAACTCGAACGATAAGCCAAGCAAGAAATGACTATGAAGCAAATGGCAAGCAAGGTCTCTTTCAATAGATTACACTATCTTTTTGAGGTGTATGATTTTTTTATTTCGGCACCTGCCTGTCTTCCATTCCTTGCGCGTGACATTTCCATTGTGATCTTGATTTTATAATTTTAGCATTTAGATTAAAGATGTTCCGATCTTCCGTAATTGTAGCATTTCTTCTCATCAAGGACTTCAATTCTATACTTTTATACTTTTATCCAAGAGGCCTATATGTAATTTAGTAATCATTGCTTTTCAAATCCAGACCATTGCATCGGCAGGAAACGTATGGCGGATTGGATCAATTGTACGAAGAGTTCTTCTGTCTTCTGCGATATAACGCCATGTAGTCCGTTGAAATTCATCTGACGTTTCGGAGAAACATGTCGCCTCCATGTATAAACTCGAACGATAAGCCAAGCAAGAAATGACTATGAAGCAAATGGCAAGCAAGGTCTCTTTCAATAGATTACACTATCTTTTTGAGGTGTATGATTTTTTTATTTCGGCACCTGCCTGTCTTCCATTCCTTGCGCGTGACATTTCCATTGTGATCTTGATTTTATAATTTTAGCATTTAGATTAAAGATGTTCCGATCTTCCGTAATTGTAGCATTTCTTCTCATCAAGGACTTCAATTCTATACTTTTATCCAAGAGGCCTATATGTAATTTAGTAATCATTGCTTTTCAAATCCAGACCATTGCATCGGCAGGAAACGTATGGCGGATTGGATCAATTGTAGCTGACTGTAGCTGTACATTGTGGGAGCATTAGTGTGAGATGAAATATCAGTGAAATGTGTTCCCAGAGAAGTAGAATTTAACCGAAGATAGACGAATGTAGTATCCCCACTTAATTAGCACTTGACCAAAAGCAATTCGATGGTAAAGACAGTGAGTGCTTTTCTTTAACCACAAACACCTAACCCGGTATGCGAAATAAACTTTTCCCGTAAGAATGATAGAATAGGCTATGAAATCAACCTGTCCGATGCAAATTATCCGCTAAAGCGTAGAGGGTAAAACTGGAGACATCATAGCCTACACACCTTGAGAATTTGGTGACATTTGTAGGTAAGACGTGTAGCAGGCAGAGGTAAGGAAATCAGTGGTGGGACTGATCAAACTTCCGAGAAAGATTGGTAGGTACCAGACATTTTTCTGTGAGAACTGGCGAATACTAGCAAATATGTGTAAGGCAGTTTCCTTAATTGTTTTACGATATTAAAGGTACTAACCTATCTTACCCAATGAAAGAGCCCACACCAAACAAAGTGAGTTCCATACTTCAGCATCCTTTTGCATTTTGGTACCGTTTTAAGTTGTAAAGTATTCTGTCTGTAATGCAGCAAAGTCAGTCCTTTCTTCAAACACTAAAATATATTTAATTCAGTAAAGTGCTTGTTAACTATTTTAAAATGTCATTAACTATGTACATTCGATGACATTGCTACATGTTTCGGCCACACATGGGTCATCATCAGGCAACACTACCCAAATAATAAGTGTTGCCTGATTGGCCTGTGTGTGGCCAAAACATAGTAATGACATCAAATGTACATAGTTAATGACATTTTAAAATATTTAACAAACACCTTTTAGTGAATTAAATATATTTTAGTGTGTTACTTTGTTACATTACAGACAGAATACTTTACTTGTAAGATTTGAGGTTTTCATGGCGGTGACTGAAGAATGCAATCTTCTAGGATTTGGCACCGTGTAGCTCTTGTTTGTACCGACATTCCTCTGAAATGTCAGTTCACACAAGATCTCCATGGTGCCACATCCCAGAAGACAGCATTCTTCAGAATACTTTAAAATTAAAAAAAAAAAAGGAAAAAAAGTGAGTTTTGATGTAACATACCAAAACCCAAATGTACTAATCTTGCCTCATGAAAAATTAACGTAACTAACCTGAAGAAAACTAACCCACCCAGTGTAAGTTTTGCTAAACTAAGTGCAGTGAATTCTGTTGCACTGTATAAAAACACTAAAATTATGAGATGAATTGTGAATTGGTGGATTTTGTTGTATGGTATGAACACATTAACTAAAGCACTGTCCTACTTAACTCATGAAATCTAACATTCAGCCATGCCAAGAGCCTTCATATTTTGTGCCACCAAAAATATCTGCACTGATAAATATGCAAGGAACACCATATTCTCAGAGCAGCATCTTAACTATACAAATTACCATATTCTGAAGGTTACTCTAAAGGTATTAAGACGAGTCAGAAGTGATTGTGTTACAGTTAAATCTTCTAACCTCATGATAAATCTTTATGTTGAAGTGGGTGTAGAAGGCAGAAAGATGCCCTTACTGTGCATTGTCTCACATATACTTCCATTAAGGTATTTTGTATGTTAATGAAAGATTCTTATGTAACAGATGGAAGATTTACCCAACAAATCTTCATAGAACAGATGAATAATATGAAGTCTGTGGGCACTAGAGGACTGTGTAGGATTAGAAACTGATTCATCTGTCTTTTCCCTGATTTTCTATTGTACTAACTGCTAGTATAATCAGTCTCACCACTCATGTGCACCTGAAGCAAAAGTAATGCTTACAGATGAGCACATGAGTGTCCTCTTAACCACTGAGACCACTGGTCTGCCCATTGATGACATGTGTTACGTGGAAAGAACCTTGGTAGTGAACACAAAACACAACAAATATATGCAGTTTGACAGAGTAATAAAAGGTCATGGAGGAGAGTTTTTCAACACATGTAAAACAATAAACTGTACTGTGACATTGTTCACTTTTAAGTGACATTTCAGTAGCACCACTATTGGTATGCAATAACATAATAATAAAGCCTCAAATCTTACACATAATAATATGAGNTGACATTTCAGTAGCACCACTATTGGTATGCAATAACATAATAATATGATTATATTAAGTTCTGATAGAGAAAACCTGCTTTGGACAAGAGGAGTGTTAGTCCTATATTTAACTCTTACCATTTCTTAAACTAAAAAAAAAAAAAATAGAAATGAATTTAAAGATACAGGGAAGATAGAAGAAACATCTGACCCCATAATGTTTTCAGCTGTTTCATGAAAGCAGTATGTTATTCAACATGCTGGGAGGCTTTAACCCTTGAGCACAACTTTTCTGCTGCTCCTGGATTTGATCATTCCACTAATATTTAATGAGGAATAGAAATTATGAAGCTTCTCATTATGCAATTTTCTCTTGCCTGCTGTTACTTTCAGCCAGGATAGTGCAGTCAGTATAGTGACTGGATATGGGCTGGATGACCAAGAGTTCAGAGTTCAAGTCCCAGTAGGGTCAAGAATTTTGTCTTCTCCTTTTGTTCAGACTGGCTCTGGGCCCACCTAGCCTCCTGTACAGTGGGTACCAGGGGCTGTTTCCCTGTTGGTAAAGCGGCAGGGGCATAAAGCTGACCACTCACCTCCAGCAAGAGCCAAGTTCAAGAAAATGTGGAATTCTACATTCTCTCCCCCATACGCTTTCATGACATAGTGCTTAATTAGTTAAGCAAAGGAACAACTTTATCTTTACCTGTAACTTTCTCCCATTTAGACTGAAAAATTCTCAGCACCCAGTTTGGACAGCGTAGTCTGTATAGCAACTAGCTATGAGCTGGATGACCGAGGAGTCGGGAGTTTGAGTACCTGTAGGTCAAGAATTTTCTCCACATTGTCCAGACCGGCTCTAGGGCCCATTCAGCCTTCTATCCAAAATTTATAAATTTTAAACTTTTAAGTTAATAAATAGTTTCACATAAGACTGTAAAATAAATTTTATAATAACAATTAATTCAGAAATTTGCAATGTATAGTTCACTTTTTTTGTGGTGTATTTGCCAGAATCATGCCAACTGTGATAGTGATTGATGTATCACTCTCAATGACAAGGCCTGTCTTTATACCAGAGACTGGGGAAACATACAATCGCCAGCACCTTGCTGTATGTGGAATCAATGTCCTCCTGGACTACTTAGCTATACATTCAAAACTGGAATTTGTTTCCCTGGTAAGTGACAACTCTCAAATCGTGCCATGCTCTTGGTTAAAGCAGATGTCTATGTGTAAAGCCAAAGAGAAACACTGTGCCCCTGCTTGGAATCAAACTGTGTCTGTTATACTCTTGCAATATTTTTATAGTGGTTGAATCATAGAGATCTATATGAACTAAACCTGTAGTATGATTGGGGGAATCGAAAAGTGTTTTGATGGGAGAATATTTTGCAAAGGGCACTTGAAAGACAGATGAAAATGGGATCATGATATTAAAATGGATGTTGTGAAAACAAGTTGTGATGTAGACTGGTCTGAACTTCTTAAGGATCATGTTTAAAGGCAGGCTTTATTTTTGTACTTTTAAACCTCAAGGCTCTACTACCAGATTTAGCTCCATGTTGTAGGATCTTTCTTGAACAGACTGTAGTTGGTCAAGAAATATGCTGTTGTTATGGAACCCAGTTATTCATTGCCATGTTCACAAGAGCCTTTGATTGGACATATCATGAGCCAGTTCAGTCGTCTGAAACCCATTTTAGTATTATCTTCCCAGCTGTGCCCACACCTCTTAAGTGATCCCTTGCCTTGAGATTTTCCATACATAATGTCATGTGTTGGGTATGTAACGCAACAAATGGCTTCACGCCGTCTTGAATGTAGCAAATTTATTGCACATTTGCTCTTACACTTATACAATTCACAGTTTCCCAATTACTTCTCCTGCTGGAGTCACTGCCATTCACTCGATACAACTCAACTTGTAGCTGCTGAACTTCAACTCATACTGAATACTAGTAACTGGCTCAGTACTCACGACTCCTGAATAGTGTTCGCTGCTCCTTATTTAGGCTCGGCACGGAGAACATAGAGAACATTTTGCTGCTCAGCAGCAGATATCAGGTATTGTTGTCAGGTGTTTCTACCTACACATTGCCTAGCAATAGTCGCTGCACGGACTCGACTGTTGCTTGATGTCACAGCCTAGCGGGGAGGGGTGTTTACCAAGCGTTACATAATGATGGAAGGAGTGGGGGTATGTGACGTCACTTACAAGAATGCAGGGTTCACGTGACCCCTACTTCCTGTTGCACCATCCACGTCACAATAACTTAATTCTATTATGAATGCTACATTACTTGCCAATCTAATTTTTATTGATTTATGTAATTTTCTCTGTTCCCCAATTCCTTTCTGTAGGTCCAAATGATCTCCATAGCATTTTGCTCTCAGATATCTTCAACCTGTTTTCTTCCTTACATAGTTATTTTTCTTTTTTTTTTTTCTTGTTTCTTATGTATAGTCCTTTTTTGACTCTATGTAATGATTTATAATATGACCTTCTGATCTTTCTGACTCTTACATGGCTATTAAAAATGAAGTGATTTACTCCAGAGGTGGGAGCACCCATAGACCAGTTACTGTGATAGGTATTTAACATAGTACCACAGAAGTGATAAAGACATCAGTGCGCACACTTCTTTTTTCAGATTGCATTCTCTTCACTCTATGAAATAGTTTCCCCATTCACACGTGATTTTGATGCCTTGAAATTGAAACTGCAGCAATTGGAGGAATATGATAAAACGTGCATTGAGACAGCTTTGCATGGAGTCAACAGATTGGTTCTTGGAGAATGGGGCAGTACCACTCCATGTCAGGTAAGAATACATGAGGATTAGACACATCTGACTTGAGAGAGGACAGGACAGGACACTAGTTGTCCTGAATGAGGGGTTTCATGCAGGAGCATCAGCTCTTCTAATCAGGAGTTTTCCACACTGCAACAGTGGTCATACTGAGCAAGGACATCCATCCTGGGGAAGCAATTATCTTCCTGAACAGTTTTGCTGCTGTCATATCAGTTCTGGGACTTTCATTCTGAGACACCAACTATCCAGACCAAAGGTTCTCCTTCTTTGGCCCTGGATATTACTATTAAAAATTCCGTTGTTTCTTTGTTCTTAGTGGCCAAAAAGGGTACAAGCTGCTGTCCATTTCATATACAGGGTGTTGGGCAAAATAATGGAAACACTAAGAAGTTGAGGAAAAGAATTTGTGTTGGCAACACTGAATGTTCTCCCGTTTGTTTTCACTCTGTAGTCCTCATGACAGTGCATTAGTGATAGTTTGAGTGACAGTTCATATGAAAGAACCAAAAAATGGGAGACTTGTCTGATCTTGAAAGAGGACAGATCATTGGTGTGCATTTAGCTGAAGCATCTATGGCAAAAATGCCACATTATTAAGTGTATCAAGAGGAACAGTTTCTAAGGTTATGTCGGCATACACGAATCATGGGAAGACATCAGCAAAGAGGAACATTTGGCAAAAATCAACATTGACAGTAACAGATTGTTATACATTGAGAAAGGACTGTTTAAAAAAATCGCAGAACTACAGTGCAGATGACAGCAGAACTGAATACTCATCTTGAAGACCCCATTTCCACAAAAACTGTCCGATGTGAGCTTCACAGATCGAACATCCACATTAGGGCTGCAATTTCTAAACCTCCGATTACTGAAAGTAATGTTCAGATGTGTAAATGATGGGTCATGGCCATAAAACCTGGACATGAGACAACTGGAAATGCATGCATGATGTAGTCAGACAAGTAATCCATCACACTGTTTCCTACATCAGGAAGAGTTTATGTTTGGAGAACACCCAAGGAAGCCTGCAATCCAGAATGCCTGGTTCCAACAGTAAAACACAGGAGAGGTTCTGATGGTTTGGATAGCAGCATTGTCATATGGTATTCTCTTGGTCCCATTATTACCATTCACGACCAAATTACAGCAAGGGGATACATAGACAGGTTGGGCAGTCAGGTAGATCCCATGATCCAGACAACAATGCCACCATTCACACAGGTGGAACTGTTCAGTCATGGTTTGAAGAGCATGAAGGTGAACTTCACCATCTTCCTTGGCCAGCATAATCATCAGATCTGAACATCATTGAACCATTCTGGTCAGTTTTGGAGACTACAGTGGGAACAGATTCCCACCTCCAACTTCTCTAAAGCAACTTGAAGATGTTCTTCAAGAAGAATGACAAAAAATTATGCTAGAGACTTTTCAAACTCATATGCGTCCATTCCAAGCATCATATTAATAAAGAAATGTGTACAGTATGTGTAGTGTTTCCGTTATTTTATCCAACCCTTGTACATTTTCACGTCTGTTAAACTGAACTTTACTGCCATGTGATAATGAAGGTCTAGATAATTAACTCCGTGACCTTTAGTCTGGAAGCAAACTATACCGACCGAGTGACTGCTGCTTGTCGGCGAAGTTAGTGCCAACTTTAGCAGATAAGAGGGTGTCATGGTCAGCGCAACGGATTCCCATGGCCGTTAATCTCGGTCTAATTCTAGACAGGATGAAGGTCTAGATAGTGTTTTATAAATTCAGATTTTTGTGTTTCTTGACAGTAAAGATAATATGAATACTTCTATATGATATCCAGGATTTTAATGTAACTTTGAACATTCAGAACTGTCTTTCACTACAAGACAGATTATATCTGAACAACAGAGAAATGTAATTCTAAAGAGAACTTGGAATGTGACACCATGTAGTGGGATAGAAGTATACTGATGTTTTGTAGATCACACTGCATTTACCTTATAATTAAAAAATTATCTGAAAAAGGAAACAGGAAGTTGCTTGCGATTTGCTTGTTTGGCTTATTGTTCAACCCTGAAGATGAAGGCAGTACATTCCTCCATATCATCAGTAAACTGCTACCAGACTATACGGCATCACTTCCCATACCACAGTAGTCTTCATAGTCATTGCCATGAAAACCTCAAATCTCACAAATTTTTAATATAATTTTATTTCATTGGATAATCACTGCAACCTCCACCTTCCCAATCAGGGAGATCAAGAACTTGGGTGTCTTAATATATGAGAATGGTCCATGATGAAAATATTTGTCAACTGTATGTATCTGTAAAAGTGAAAAATATTCTCCAGAGAGCTGGACAGGCACTGTATGGAGTTAAATGGTAACAAATAACTCCCTCCCTCCTCCTCCCAGTCAGCTTTGTATGTATTGGTTTATTCATTCAGTCTTGGCATGTCACAATGTCTTATTTGTCTCAGTGCCCTATTATCTCCTCCCACCCACATACTTTCAGTATTGTATCTGCTGCAATTCCCATCTGACTTCAGTGGTGAAATTCTTCACTCATATTATCTTTCACAGATAAGAATGGAATACATGGAATGTGTGTATTTCTAATTCAAAATGTTATTGTTTCAGGTGGTACTGGTTACAGATGGAAGTCCTGGTGTAGGCCCCATGTCATTGAAGTATTCACTGAACACCCTGAACCAGCGTGACGCTTCATCTCCTTTCCCATTACCCTTTTCCTTTCCTGGCAAGTTAAGTATTATATGCATTGCTTCAATGGATGAACCTGGATTACAGTTAGGGTTGCCACTCTACCATAGGCTAGTGGAATTGGCAGGATCTGACAGTGCAGTGCTTGTTCCAGAGGGACCCCTCTCCATGAAGAGCATACAGACCATGTTTCAGAAACTGTCTGAAGCAAACTTTGCATCATTTCAGGGAATGCTGAAATGTGGCAATCTTGGATCTCAGATTATTCTCTCACCATCACCTCAGGTACTTATGTGTTTTAGTGGAATGTTGCTAAGATGAAGACAGTATGGAAATACAACTTTCTGCTGGTACCAAGGGCATTTTCAGATAATGTAATGTTACATAATTCTGTATTTCAGCACCCTGTTGCACATCTATATATCATGTCTGTCAATGATGTAACACTCAATAAAATATTCACCATTTAACACTAACACAACATGTTTCGGCCACAGACGGCCATCCTCAGGTGTTTGAATGCGTCCAGACTGTTACACTGCTTTGATGTACATTGCAGTCCACTTAAAATAACATAAATAATTACTTACAATTCATTAAAATATTTTTCTATTAAAATCTTTCATAAAATCGTATTTCACCTCATAATGGGTGTCATCCACTTGTTTAAAGCTATGTGATATTGCAGACAGTTTGTTTCAGCAGCTTGTTCTTCTGTTTCATTAGTCCGTTGTTTTGCTATGTCTGCAATATGCCCCTTGCTTGTGTGTTGTTCCCTCTAGCAGTGTGTGGTGTTATCTTCACTAGATTAGTGAAGACAACACCACATGCTGCTAGAGGGAATATCACATAGCTTTAAAAAAGTGGATGACGCCCCTTATGAGGTGGAATAGCATTTTATGAAAGATTTTAATAGAAAAAATCTTAATGAATTGTAGGTAATTATTTATGTTATTTTAAGTGGACTGCAACATACAATTTTAGCACGTCAAAGCAGTGTAGCAGTTTGGATGCATTGAAACACCTGAGGATGGCCATTTGTGGCCTAACATGTTGTGTTACTGTTAAATGGTGAATATTTTAATGATTGTTGCATCATTGATGGACTTGGTACATAGACGTGTAATGTTCTACAAACTTTATCACTTCAGTAATCCCTCCCATTACCTTTCCTTCTGCCAGTGAATTTGTTTTAGGCCTATGAGGCAGTCTGGCCAATGATTTACAGACTGATTTTATATCACGTATGACATAAGAGGGGCAGTCAAAATTTTCCTGGAATGGTGGTATAGCACTCTAATGGTAGGACATATGGCAACGCTTACCTATTCACCTTCAAAGTAGGACCCTTGCGCGCACACACTTGCTCCATCGATCCTGCCATTGTTGAAAGCAGCAGTGGAAGGCTTCTTTTGGAATCTTCTGGAGCTCAGCCATCACATTCAATTTTATGTCCTCCATGGTTGCAAAACGTGTCCCTTTGAGTAGGGAACAGCCAAAAGTCACTTGGAGCGAGATCTGGAGAGTATAGTGGTTGAGTGATGACAGGAATGTTTTTTACGGTGAGGAATTGCTGCGCAACAAGCGATGTGTGGCTTGGTGTGTTATCGTGATGCCAAAACCACTGTCCCTGCCACTTGTCGTGCCGCTTCCTCGTAACCACATTGTGCAACCTCTGCAAAGCTTGCACATAGAAATGGCCAGTAACAGTACCAACTTCTTGCTCCAACTCCATGATGGTCATTCTTCGATCACATCGAATCAGTTGTCACACTCTTCCAATCATTTCTTCGGTTCTGGATGTTGAAGGTCTCCCGCTGCGCTGGTCATCCTCTAACGTCTCCTGCCCATTCTTAAACCGGGAAAACCAGTCGTAAAGTGCAGATTTCGTTAGTGCACTATCACCATAAACTTGCTGCAGGGCCGATGGCGTCTCTGAAGCAGATTTTCCCAATTTGGACATGAACTTGATGATCGCACGCTGTTCGAACTGCGACATTGCGCTGAATGACCAACACTCACATCTAATTCAAATGGAACAGTAACGACACTGCACACTGAAACCTGTCCAGACCTGTTGGGCCTGCGAGCAGACATGCTGAGCTTCCCACCACCACAGTGTGTGCGCTATCTTATCACTCGTTCTTCATCTGCAGGGGAATTCCTGGAACTTTTTGACTGGCCTATGTATGTTAAGAAATAGCAGTGAAGTTCACACTATCTGCTGCTTAACTTTGGCACAGATATCTCAGATAAGCATTATCCTGCATTTTCCACACCAAGAGAATGGATATAGGTGATCTCATGTCCATTCACCTGACTGTATGTTTCATCACTAGAGTAAATGAATGGATTTTGATAAAATTTGATCTTGGTTAATTTTATTTTGGTTTGTATCAGTCTAGTATGACCTGTACTGTATTTGAACTTCATAAATGCTCACATGCAAACACGGAAAGGGGACTCGTATAAAAATTGCCTTATGTCATAAATTGACATTTTTCAGTATAGTGAATATAATGTCACGTGATTGAGTGACTATAGACTGGGTTTCGATTGGTAATTGGATTTACTGAACTCTTACAAAATGTAACTACAAATAACTATAGCGCTAACACTAATTCACACACACAGCAGTTCACTGCAGCACATACAAAGTCTTCTCAGTCTGCTGTGTCTTCACTGGTTGGCATCTGGTAACAGCTTTCACCACTGTAGCTTCCTCATCTTCTTTGTTCATGTCCTTACTGGCTGGCGAGTGTCTCACAGTTAACTCATTGCTCCAACTAAATCCTAGGCTGGTGGTCATTTCACTCCAACCTCCTACTCTTCTCACTGCCGTCTGAAGACTCTTCCCTTTTTATGTAGCCTCGGCACAGACCACGCAGAGAACACCCCTTCCAGCAGTTCTTCTGTTGTTGCATGCATCTGCTGCAGCCATTACCTAGCAATGGCTGTTGCATAGCTGCTTATTTCATGGTCATTGCCCAGCCACAATATAAAAAATACAGTCATGTGTAACTATAGGTGGGGTTTGGACTGGTAATTGAATTTACTGAACTCTTACAGATTTGCGACTACAAGTAAGTATAACCATTTCACTAATTAACACACTTTACAGTTCACTAGAGCACACAAGTCTTCTCAGCCTGCTCTTCTGATAACAGCATCCAACAGCAGACGTTCCCCTTCCTCTGGGTTCCTGAACTTTCTCCTGGCCTCAGCCACCAGCTTCTAACAGCAACAGCTCACAACCGCTGTACTGCAGGAGTCCTCTCACTCACTCACTCACTCCAGAGTCAAGTTTTCACTAACTCCTCACTTTCCCTGATTATAACATCTTGGCATGGACTGTGTAGAAAACTGTTGCAATGCAGTTGTTGCATTTGTGCCTGTTGGCAGAGCCATTACCTAGCAACGGCTATTGTATACCTGCTTATTTCACAGTCATTACCTAGCAACGGGTCTACATGCCACATTGCTCCCTTCTTAAGGGTGCTTATCTCAAATAGCCTACAGGCATACTGCAATTTTTTCTTTTCTGAGGATTATGCTTGTGACGTCTGTGATCAGCCTCACCTTCCTTCCCTGTGGCTTGGTTCTTATAGTGATTACTCTCAAACTGCTCTGCCCTTAAGGCTATTCATCCCAAGTGCTTCCCTGTTAAAGTGTAAGCTGGTCCACGTGTACCACCATCATCTTTTTGACAGCTGTGGTTTGGACGTCTCTTCTTTTGTTTCAGAAGGGGCCTACCCCTCCACCATGTAGAGTCACTCATTTTCGACAACCCGATGGAAATCCTGACTGCTCGCTTCATGAGTTTGTCTCAGGCCTCATATAATATCTTCTTGCTTCTCAGACATAGCTCCTGTTTCAGGCCTTGGTTCCTTATGCCACTGTTAAATTTAAGCTGCCTGTCATTTCTTCTCGAATGTTCATCTTTTACGGGCTCCTTATATGGCATAGTCCTTGGTCTGCTTTTTCTGTCGTCTCTTCTCAACCATCAATCCTTTGTGACTGTCCCTTACACCGTGCAGGTATGGCATAGCAGGGCATCCATCTGTGGGCAGTGACCAACTTCTTCTGGGACCCACCATCACCCTGGGTCCATTTCTTTGGCTATTAGTGGAGCCCTATGGCTAGATATTAGTCCTCCAGTGCTCTGATAGTTTCCACTGCGACCTTTTCATTAGGGATTGCCTGGTAGTCTACTACATACTTCATTTCTTCCAATTTGACCTTCATCTTCCAATAAATGAAGTACCAGTTTGGTATGCAAAATTCCAAAGGATATATGTTGAAACTGTACTCGTATTGTACTGGAGTGGAATTTCCCAGCCAAATTTTATTTTTAGAAATAGCCTAGTAGACATGGCAGGAAGAAAGTTAGGAAAGTTAAAAACTATATTTTTTCAAGAAGTTCTTCTACAGACATCTACTTGACCTGTCTTGTTCCGCACATGGTGTCTCACAAATCATTTTACGTCCGAAAGAGAAAGTACAGTCACACAAGAACATCACTTTACAAATTATTCCACTTGAAACATTTTGTATACCTGCAAGGCACTTGTGAGCCACAGCTTGGGGACCACTATGCATACCCTGAACACAAGAAATAGAATGGTGATTTCCATTAAAGTGAGAAAATTTCATAACAAATGAAGTGGATTGCTGACTGCAAGAACATTGTATCCTAAGCAAAATTTACAGGGTAACACTGAACTTCTAAAATGTGTGGCCTATTTGGAGTTGTTTCATTCACAGTTTTGTGAGATTTGAGGTTCTCATGGTGGTGGCTATGAGGATTGCTGTCTTTCAGAACGCAATGCTGTGTGGTTGGTAGATAGACATCAGTGTTCCAGAGGAATGTTGGTCCCTGTCTATCGCACAGCATGGTGTCACATTCCATAAGACAGTAATCTTCACTTATTACTGTGCCATTTAAATTATTTTCTACCATTCTCAGACCACTTAATTTAAATTCTCTATATTCATATGTTTTGGTATGCTAAGCATACCTACATTCAATTGTGTTATGTATAGTAAAGTGTTGATTATTAACTCTTTCATTAGTGTAAATTGAATATTTCAACCACATGTCAAAACACTGTGCATTATGAACACAACACTTCCATTAAATGTACACAGTTTTACTTAAAAATTATAATTGTACAAAATTAATATGTTAGATACAGATTGTGTTTAAATGTAAGGCAGTAATATGAGTACGTGTATATGTTCAGAGATGAAATATTGTATTTATGTCCAAATTCTGACAGTGAGTTGAATTATGATTAACACGCAGGTGACCTATTTTTCTTTGCTAGCAAAAAGTTAAATATGAAATCACATTACTACGTTCGGTACACATGCTCTCATCCGTATGTTGCATGAAGTAACTTTCTTCTTTACACCTAACTGGCAGCACGCAGTAGTGTAGCTGGTTGAGGCACTATGCTACAAGCCGGAAGGTTGCGGGATCAAATCCTGATGAGGTGGATTGTTTCAGTTTACCTAATCCTTCCAGCTGCACTATGGCCCTGGGGTCGACTCAGCATCTAACAAAAATGAGTACCAGAAATATTCCTGGGGGTAATAGGTGGTCAGCATGTAAGGCTGACAACGTCACCGCCATCTTTGAGCCGACTGTCTAGAAAATGTGGGGGCCTCAACATCTCACAACACTATGGGCCTCCACGGCCTGTTACAGGGATACATTTACTTTTGTTTTACACCTGATAAATGAACACCATTATCAAGTCGTTAGGGCTACTGGTTTGTATTTTAATATTCTGGGTTCAAGCCTGAGCCCAGAGTCACGATATCCTGAGGTTATCATCTTGATTTTCTGCAGTCTACACAGGCAGTTGCCAAAAGAGTACCTCAACTTAGGCCATTACTCCTATGCAGTCTGTGTCTTCAGTACTCCTAACAATGTGTTATTTATCATCATGACAAACGGCACTGCTGGCAAGTTATGTTGCCTCATTTGTGGTGACACGTATGATGGGGTACCCAAAAGAAACCANTACAAGGATGATGCTATGGGGAAAACTCAAGTGTTTGAGTGGTTTTCCCATTTCAAAAATGGTGAAATGTCAGTTGATGACAAACCTCGTTCTGGTCGTCCTTCCACGGCCCGAACACATGAAAATGTTGAAAAAATTCGTGAAATCATCAAGGAAGATCGACAACGGACCATTGAAGAAATTGTGGAGCTGTCGGGAGTGACTTGGAGCTCAGTTCAGCGAATTTTGACAGAAGATTTGGGAATGAAAAGGATGGCTGCGAAATTCGTGCCACGACTGCTGACTGCTGAACAAAAACAAGGTCGCGTGGAAGCATGCTGTGCTTTGAAAGAAGAGTCCCGAAATGATCAAAACTTTTTTTTGTTTCTTCGAATGAAAAGAGACATGAAAGGAAAGCATTCTGCTGATGTTGCTGAGGTGAAGGAAAAAACGACGGAGGCGCTGTCAAGCATCTCAAAAGATGAATTTAGACAATGTTTTGAAAAATGGAATAAAAGACTGGACAAGTGTATTAGTGTAAGTGGAGAGTACTTTGAAGGGGATTGAAGGTTTGTGCTTAAAATTTGAATAAATAAGTTAATAAGTTCGGTTTCTTTTGGGTACCCCCTCGTATCTTGAAAACCAAGCTTCTCGGGAGATATGTTGTATAACATTTTCTGCTTGTTCTTTTAACAAACAAGCACAGTATCAAGAGCTTGTGTGTGATGTATAACTCTGTATAGTGTGAGGATCTGACATGACATAAGCTGTAAGTAAATAAATAAATAAAATGCACCTAGTGCCTCTGTGTTGATGTAAGAATATAAACAACAATGCCTTTACTTTTGGGGGTTTCTTCACCTCAGACTGTGAACTTTCTGTAATGATTGTACTGCTTATTATGATAGAAATTTCATCTCTTGTGATTTCTACCTGTAAAGTGCCTTTGGATAAGAACTGTTTGAGCTCACAGACATTTTTCATATCGTGTATCTAGTATGGGGTAAAGGTGGTTGCAGAAGTAAAAAAATGCAGTTATTTGACAGAAGTAAAGGAAGGAGTAGCCAAAATCATGAGCTCTTAACATTGGAAATATATGCACAGCAGAAATGTAATTCAACCATAAAAGAAATATGAATAATTCCTCATTACTTTCAGCCATTCTGTAAATCAAATGACTTCGAGTCAGTGAAAAGAAGCATCTCTGATTCCATTGAAGTATGTGGTTTCATAGATGTGGCTGATGTTGGGAGCCCCATGGCTATTTCTCGGCATTTAGTGCTTCCTCACCCAACTGGAAAGGTAGAAGGTATGTTTATACAGTTCATTAAATGTATTTACTAATTTTTTTTTCACAGCCCCATAGTATTTTTAGCCCTGCTTCCATGCCTTCAAATGTTAAGGTCCACAGTTAGCAAATGACAGAAACTTATTCCTTATGGGAAAAAAACAAACAAATTTTGTAGGTTTTCAGGGAAAGTGATACAAATAGCAAAAGATGGTTAAGCCAACTCAGAAGAGATAAACTACATTCTTATGCTTAATATGATGTAAAATGTAAAGGTAGAATTGTTCCTGTGTTTAACCCTCTAATGATACAACTATGGTAATATTTGCAGTAGCAGCATGAGATACATGTATGTTCAGTATACTGCCAACTGTATTGATTTAAATTTTCTAGTTCTCTTTTTATTAAAATGGTTGTATTTTAGTATTGTCTCAAGTTACTGCTTTGTAAAAAAAGCATACTGATATTTTACGAACACATTAAACTGACAGTGCAGCAGTCTTTGTTCTGACAAGCTGTGACTTAATCTTACTGCATCCAAGTTTGTAGGCATGCCTTCGTTAACATAACACGAAACTTTTACCTCACAAACATGCCTCTCTAAGAGACTCTGCTCAGTTCTTTCCTGTCCCTCCCTCCAGCTGCTAAGAAGCACTGCTATGAACATGTGTTCTATGTTTGGATAGCTAAAGGTTTGAACTGGATCTTGCAGGCACAAGGAGTCATATGCTTGGTGGCCAGGAGGTGGGTCAGCTGAAGTGCAGTGTGTCTGGCCTGCGCTTATTCTCAATTATTGTTTGGCTTTTACATATCCCCACCTCTGGAGAACTGCTGCTGATATTGGCTTGTGCAAACACAGATGCCCTCATACAATTCAGCTGTATTTATATATTGTAACCATATTTATGCCTTGCTATGGCTTATACCTATAATGTGTATTGAATCAGAATTCCAAGATCACATTTGTGTAATGTATACATACTCAGTATGTAGTCACATGCCTGAATTTTTGTGTTTCCTCTTCTTCATTTTCAATAAATATTTACTGTGATGTTTTTATGAACATGGCAGTCATTGCTTTCTGTTTGTTCACTTTCACATAAGAGTATGTAACTGCCATTATTTTAAAAAATGGCCAATTTCACCCATTTCTTTTGCAGGCATATCAGCTGGAGTGAAAGTAGAAGTAGATTCTGAAGATGAATCTGTGGTAGATGAAGGAAGAATACCGTCGTTTTGTGTACTACTGCATGGTGCATTGAAAGTGGAAAACATGGCAGCACTTTGTCTTTTAGCTGAGGATTGGTTTGGATTTGTTTATTCATGGGCTGATAGCAAGAAGAAGTCAAACTTAATGCTTACAATCCTAGAACCTGGATCAAATGTTGTACCATGGCTGGGAGATCTGAACAGATTGGGCTCTTTGGATGACTTTCATTCTATGAATCAAGAAATCGAGATTGAACCTTCATTTCCTGTTCGTCCACTGGAAAAAAGAAGCTACTCCCAGAACTGTGTGGTCTGGATAAGACAAGCAGGACTGCAGTCTGACATACAGAAAATACTTCGGCATGCACGCAAACTTCCAGAGAAAACACAACAATTTTACAAGGTTGGTATAAATTGTAGAAATCCATCTTATCCATGCTACACAAAATACATCTCGCATAAGACACTAAGACATTTGGCCTTTATGAAAGAAATCTTTTCTGCAGTCTGTATGTAGTTGTTGCTTTTCAGTCATTAGTAACTTATTTTACAAAAATCTCTTTATTTTATTTCACACTTTGAAACTAAAGTCAACACGCAAAACAAACCATTTATTGCATGATCTACTGAACCATCAAAAGATGGCTGAAAGAGATCGGAAGAAAACAGGACATTTGTAAATTGTAAATTCAAGCAATTTATATAGAAGCATTTCAGGCAAGGAAAGGGTTAGCAAAGGAATGTCATCTGTTCACCATTTTGTTCATTTTCTAACAAGTGATCTCATGTGTGCAGCAGTAACAAGCAATCTTACTGTGCTCTTACAGGAACTAAACAGAGTGCGACGTGCAGCTATTTCATTTGGTTTCATTGAACTCTTGGATGGTCTAGCAGCCATTTTTGAACGTGAGTGTACATTACTTCCAGGAGGAGCACATCCCGACTGTGCTCTGCAGTTAACACATGCAGCAGGTGTTCTACATAAACCTTACAGCAGAGATGTCAAGCAGAATATAACTCCATTACGAACTAAGTTTATTAATAATGACTGAATCATGCCATTATGTTACATCAGTATGTTTTCTGGTTCCATTTCATATGTACATGAAATTTATAATAACCAGTGAAATGTCTGTTGAAAATTAATTGAAGTATTTGCCACTTCCCTTCCCTAACTACCGATTTCACAAATAGCCCTCTGTTTGTCCACTCTTAGGGCAAGGGCACACAAGGGAACTGGCAACTGCAGTTTCCCAGAAGTGTTATCAGCCTTACACATTACAGCCCCTGAGAAAGATTTTCAGATCACAGTTTCACTTAATATGCACATTCTGAAGTTTGGAATAACAACTTCCTAAAATAAGCATATTAATAATTGTCTACAGGGCTTTTCCACATAAAGGTCAACTTTCTAATACCAAATGATGACACAACACAACTGAAATACTGTCATTTGTTGTTGTCATCTCATAGTTTTCATAAATGTGTTTTGTATTTTTTCATGGAAATAATGAACACTGCCATGCTTAGACTAATTGTACGAGTATATACATTTTGTTCATCTGACATACTTCCAGATAATTTCTGTGCCTGTTGTAAATGCTGGGTTGAAAAATATTAAAACATTTCACATGTGGGCTAATTAAAATAGCAATGATTTATTTATGACTGCCTCTGTGGTCTAGTGGTCAGAGGTCCTGGGTTCAATTTCTGGCGCTACCAGATTTTCTGAGTTAGTGGGTCTGGAAAGGGGTCCACTCAGCCTTGTGAGGATAACACACGTATCACTGTGCTCTCGCCTTGAATCCTAGTCCCCTGGCTTTTAAAAGGCATCAGAACTATTATTTCATGTCATTCATAAATTTCCATGCATTTCCTGGTTGCTACTTAATACTAATGCTTGAGTGTCACTGAAACTATGTAAACTGAATGAAAATGTGATGATAAAGTAATATAATATAACGCAACATGGAAACAAAATTAACTTCGTTTACCTCCTCTTGTCATCAAATTCTTGCATCCAGAGCCTACAGCATCTCAGAAGCCTCCTGTACACGCCCAGCACAGACTATGATCTGGCCTGCAATGCAAAATGATACAAATTATTGGGGTGTACAAAGAATAAAGCACAAAAAGTTTTATTTTTCTTTCATTAGTGGCAAGGGTTGAACCACAGAAGTGCTGTTATTTTCTGACTGGCTGATGGCTTGTTCTAATGAATGCCACCAACCAAGCCTATATGTGGCTCCCCCTAACACAAGTTAGCACCTGAAAGCAGGAATAGACCCATCATTTTCAAATACAATATTCAAGCAGGAATCTTGTTTCATACTGTTAAAGCAAGTCATTCACTAATCTTGTGTCATGACCCTGCAGACGAGACTAAACACATGCTGCTATACTAACTACCTGAATGCCTACCCTCCCTTCACCACCTGTATATGAGGTCCTGTTACACATATCCAGATGCCTAGAGTAGGGGATCTGGAGTCCTCCATGTATAGTACTGAAGCGGGGAGGGGGGGTGGAGTTATGTAAAAAATTTATGAAGTTTATAATGCACCGTAGGAATTGCATTTCACTATATCTAAAGAACAAGATCCAAAAATGCTGGCATAGAAGAGTGACTTTAAGATGACACCTGTGGTACAGGGTGCTCCTCGTAGATGATGCACAATTGAAGAGGCAGACGCTGCACATTTCTTGCTCGCTGACAAACTCAACACAGACTTTCTTCAATGACACTGCTCCCAAACTGCCAATACACTGTAACATTTATTCAGGGCTTTACAAACTGTAAGTCTGAGCACACTATGCAGGGTGAAACTAAAAGAACATCAAATACATTGTACAACATGTGTCCTGTGAAGTTTAGCTTTCAAGATATGCTTCACTGTCTAGTGGCACAAGCTATCAAGTGATCAATGCATGGGCTGCTCAGTAGTCACAAAAGGTGTTCCAATCAGTGCATGGCATGGTTCCTCTCCAATACACCCTTAACATGCTGACATCAACCACTGTTACAGCTGCTTGGGAAGTCTTGCCACCAGAGGATCCTGCAACCAAGGAGGTCTCCATGCCCAATGTTGGATATCCTCAGTGCTAAATCCATGACCTCTGTCTTTAAGCTAGAGGCACATCTTCAGGTATGAGATGGGGCACCACAGTAATGTTCCCAGTGATTATCCCATGCCTGAGATGGATGCTGAACAAACTTGCTTCATCAGTCCGAAGAATGTTATGTGAAGTAAGCTCACCTGTGGTGTGTTAGTGTCATATCTGTTCACGGGATTGCGTTCCTAGAGGGTGATTGTCTCTGAAAACAGAAGACCTCTCCACAAGCAGTGGTACAGATGCAACTGATCATCATGAAGTACTCTGAGGACCCTCAGTTTGGATGCACTGAGCTTTAGGAGCAAGTTGCGGCATTCTTCATGTGTGCCTTGAGTACTCACAGCACTGCTTAGAAGTACGTTACCACATTTTGATAAGGGGAAATGCATTTGTCTGCTCTCACTCTGAAGAGAAAGCCTTTCTGATGGATGCTCTGCGGAGACGGAGAACGTTCTGTGTAACAGTTACAAGTTTTGTCACCATTGTCAGGCAGTAATCTTCTATTCCAAAAGGGTGCTGTACCCATACACCATACCAGCAACATGAACTGCCATTTTCTTTGTGAGGACAGCACCACTTAATGCTCCTTCCATTAACAATTTTCCTCATCACAAAGTTGTGAAACTGTATACAGCTTACTGGTTAAACCTGCTGCCCCCACCCAGACAGTTTAAACAAAGGATTCACTGTACAGGAATCATCGCATCCACACCTCTGGGTACTGCTGAACTCAAGACAGAGTTCTGTCGTCAAGCAGCTACCCTGACTGCTGTTTTGTGGTTTCCCTCAGACCCCCATCAGCAAATGCCAGGCAGTGGTAGCATATGAAATCAGGTAACAACCACTTCCTGCCATATCCATTTCAATTCATTATTCATCCTACCTACGTCTATCTACTGTATGAACCCCAGTACACTGTGCCCTGCAGAGGTAACCTCACAGAAGAAAAGACCTGTATATGAATGTCTGACCAGAGTATGAATACCAGAAGTATCTTTACACTAGCATCTAGTGCCATCCTAGTGGTGACATAACTCCACCGCTGTTCCCATACTAGACACATGTGAGAACAGATTTTCCAGTCTAGAGAAGGGCAAAATTTGGAAAAAATTTCAACAGGAATTTTCCATACTAGTGCAATCACAAATGCATACTTAGTTCTTTGAATCCTGTTCTGTTGTAGTATCACTGTAAAATGGAGGCTGCAGACACAGCATGACTTGACAATAAAATTAAACAGACCATAATGTCTTGATTAATTTATCATGCTTATACTGAACAACTACATGTTTGGATCATGACACATCACCATCAGGTGGATTCAAATTAAATAACTTCATTCTCAATGAATTTATATAAAATGGATTCATAAAAATATATAATATGCAAGAATCTGGGCCTTCAAATTTCAAGCCCAACCCAGCTCTGCAGAATGGCTGCGACATGTCTACCTGGGTTCCTGAATATCCGGTTTTGGTGAGTTAACCCGACTCTTACCTGCCTGAGCACCACACTATTTTGTTTACTTTGAAACTGTGTTACTAATGAAATTAAGCTCCCTGCACAAAGTACCACAGCTTGCCTCAAGCAACGCTGTATGAATTTTCCAAACATTCTGACAAGAAAGCTAGAGGTATCTTTCTGATGTGACACGCACCTTTCACACAGCAGGCGGATAGTTCAGGAGGCGAAGGCACCGCATGGAACTTGCTCACTAGGAACAGCTTCCCTCGAATGATGCCACTCCAGGACTGCCAACATATAACAATTGTATACAAACAGCTTCATTGACTGTTCACCTCAACACACATTATGACTGGTCAAAATTTCTGTTTTCCTTCAAGCACACCACTGATTCAAGATGTTTTACCCTCACAGCCACTTTCGCACTGCAAGAGGCACTAACCTTTAGGGCACAACGGCTCAAAGCATGCATTTTATTTTTCTCTACAACTTCTGCTCCCAACATTTCTTGCTCTGATAAATATTTAGTGAGCTACGCATGAGATCAATATTATGTGATGTCCTACATTCATTTCTGTCTCTTAAAAAAAAAAAAAAAAAAAGAAAATAATTGTTCATTAATTCAGAGAAAACAAAAAAAATTGTGAGATTCCATTTCATTCATGATATGTATACAGTGGCTGTCTTGTAGTGCACTCAATTTCACCTGTTGCTTCACATGTTTTGGCAACATAGTGCCATCATCAGGTGCCCCAATTACGCTAATCTATTGCATTGCTTGCCTTTATATGTCTTTATAAAATTATTTAAAAAGTGCGGATTTGTCAACTATAATAAATTTACACACACTAAATCTTGTTAAAATTCATCATCTTATGTGTCTTAATTAAAACTTGCATGTGGTTCTTCCACTATGGGGGTCATTTTTCTTATATTCTGTGTAAACCGTGTCTTGTGATGTATGTTCCCTTCTTAGCTGTGAGTGTTGTAATCCATTTCATGGTTCTTGAGTTTATCATCCCATACTTAATGAGCTCCACTGGACTCCCCAAGACACTATACATCACATTAGTCTGAGAGAAAGATTAAGTTACCACTGTGTAGGGGCATGTCTGCTAAAAAAAGGTTCACAAACCCTCACAGAATGTGACCTGCACAACTAGAGCACTGCATATTCTAACGAAAACTGATACATGCGCCTGGCATCTGAACACACTCACCTTTAAGTACAGGGGATCCTTGAACAGGCTAGACAGCTGCAGAATGGAAGAGAGAGGAAGATGTTATATAGGAGTTTTGTTTTTCCTGTCAAACACAATTTACCAAATAACTAGCTCATATTTCACCGTGCATAACGGAGTTTACTGGTCCTACACCAGAACATGTTTTGGTTCATGAAGCCATTATCAGGCAAAACATTAACAAACCTTATACTGTTATATTTTAGCGTCCTGTTGCACTGATTTATGTCCATGATTTATTCCAGCCATCTTACAGTGCATACACTCATCCACCTCACTCTTCACTCCTGCACTACATGTTTCGGCACAAAGGTGCCATCTTCAGGTGCTTTTCGATTTACATTAAACTACTTCACTGCATGCCTTGCCGTCTTCATACTAAAATAACTAAAATATATGTTCATCATATATATTGATAAATATTAAAAATATTAAAACTGTTCAGGATTTTTTATCCCTACGTCGCATCTCAATACGCGAGTCACACCTATCCTCTTCTATCGGAGCACTCTTCCTACTTTCATGTGTGTATTGTGCTTTGTGTTGTGTCTTGCTCCCGTGACTGCGTGTGTGTGTGTGTGTGTGTGTGTGTGGGGGGGGGCTTCTGCCTTTGCCAGCTTCATGCTCCTTGCCTACTTCTGCTCATACACTTTGCACCTTACCTCTGCTAGACTCTACAGCAAATCACTACTGTTACCCACTACATAATCAGATTTTAATGCTACTTCTGTTTTAATGAAACACTCAAAAATACCAACTGCATACTGGCTAGCCCTGTATTACAGACTCCATCTCAGCATATATGTTTTGTTGACTACCGTCTTACAGAATAGAAGGAAAACGTTTGAAAGATAAACATCTCATTTTCCTATTCCTTTCACTGCCCTTATTTACGAATATGAGGGGGTACCCAAAAGAAACTGAACTTATTTTTTTTTAAACTTATTTATTCAAATTTTAAGCACAAACCTTCAATCCCCTTCAAAGTACTCTCCACTTACACTAATACACTTGTCTAGTCTTTTATTCCATTTTTCAAAACATTGTCTAAATTCATCTTTTGAGATGCTTGACAGCGCCTCCGTCGTTTTTTCCTTCACCTCAGCAACATCAGCAAAATGCTGAAAAAAAGTTTTGATCATTTCGGGACTCTTCTTTCAAAGCACAGCATGCTTCCACACGACCTTGTTTTTGTTCAGCAGTCAACAGCTGTGGCACGAATTTCGCAGCCACCCTTTTCATTCCCAAATCTTCTGTCAAAATTTGCTGAACTGAGCTCCAAGTCACTCCAGACAGCTCCACAATTTCTTCAATGGCCCGTCGTCGATCTTCCTTGACGATTTCACAAATTTTTTCAACATTTTCATGTGTTTGGGCCATGGAAGGATAACCAGAACGAGGTTTGTCATCAATTGACATTTCACCATTTTTGAAATGGGAAAACCACTCAAACACTTGAGTTTTCCCCATGGGATCGTCCTTGTACGCCGTTTTTAACATTTCAAGAGTTTCTGTTCCACTTTTCCCAAGCAAAAAGCAGAATTTCACCGCCGCACACCGTTCACGAAAATCAGCCATTGCAAAAACGACGATCACACAAACAGTTGTCACTATAAACTCTGCCGAAACTAGTCCTTACCTTCTGAAGCAACGGTAGTAGGCTTATCGACTCAGGAATGTTAGCTCTATGTGCTCATAGTGGCAAAACGAGGTACTACAAAAGCTCTGCCCACAAAAAAATTAGTTTGGTTTCTTTTGGGTACCCCATCGTACATACCTCTCACACACATGAACAAAGCTAGCATATCTTCAAGCTAATCCGTGCAGATAATGAGCATAACAGTAAAGGCTATTAACCCTGGGGATCAGCACAAACTATGGAATGCTTCTTTCCATTTGTCTTGCATTATGGTTGCATTATTATCCTGTGAGCCATGCCAGTGGCAGCATAGCTTCTGGTATGTTGTCCCATGCCAGATAGGTCAAAGGTGATGGTAATGATCCAGACAAAACAGGATAACCTGCTCTTCCAGATTGTGGGATTGGATGTGGAGTTACAACCCTACCCCATAAAATGCCTTAATTATTGAGAAGCTGTTAACAGTTGCAGCTGGAAAGAAACACCTGAAACAACCTAACAAAATTAAGGTCTACTGATGAAAAAGTGAACTGTGCTGTCCTTGTATAGTACGAGTAGTGGTACATTTTCAGAGGGCACTCGACAAACAGGCAGATATGCTACCAGGTGGCTGGATTCTGTTGAAGATTTGAAGACAATGGGCATTGGAAATACAATGAATATTACACACATTCTTTTCCTCAAGAGTAGTCACAGAATATCTTACAAATCAAACAATGAAAATATTAGATATCCATAGGTGAAGTGAAGTTTTCATACCAGTGAACTGTAAGTTTATGGTCTTCTGGGAAGTGATGCCGTGTAGTCTAGTAAATAGGTACTACCAAACTACATATGTCGTACTGAAAGTCATGAGCAACAATTTTTTGTGAAGTAACATGTTTCATTATTGACAAACCAAACACACCACCTCAATCTACAGACTTTTCTTTATTTTTCTGCATAATCACCACTTCTTTGTACACATTTCTGCCAGCATTCTGGGAGTTTGAAAATTCCCCTTCTGTAAAATTCCGTTCCAGCCATCTGAAGACACTGACACACTGCTTTCTGAATTCAGCGTGCTTATGGAAGTGTGTGAATGGGTGCGAGCAGTGTTTGAAGATGGGTGAAACATTTTAAAGATGGGAACACCAGCATCGAAGATGAGCCTCGGAGCGGTCATTCTTGAACAGCCTCAACTGAACGCAACAAGGAAAGAGTGGATGAGATCATTCAAGATGACAGGCGTGTGACTATGGACACAATAGCCCGAAAACTTGGAATAGGGCACAGTGCAGTACAGGAGATGATTGAAAGCTTGAAGTATAGGAACGTTTGTGCTCACTGGGTCCCGCGGTTATTGACTGAAGACCACAAAGGTCACATTGGAAGCAACTGCAAAGATGGGGTGGGAAGTTCTTCCACATCTCTCCTATAGCCCTGATCTGGCACCCTCCGACTACCATCTTTTCAGATTTGTGAATGATCAGCAGCGTGGACGTTCTGAGGCAAGGGAGGCAATTCAAAAAGCAGTGCGTCAGTGTCTTCGGATGACCGGAACGGAATTTTGCATAAGGGGAATTTTCAAACTCCCAGAATGATGGGAGAAATGTGTACAAAGAAGTGGCGATTATGTGGAAAAATAAAGAAAGGTCTGTAGATTGAGGTGGTGTATTTGGTTTGTCAATAATAAAGCATGTTACTTTACAAAAAAAATGTTGTTCACGACTTTCAGTATGACCCTCGTATATTACACCACATCACTGAAGACCACAATCTTAACAGGTGTCCTCACGATACAAAGAAACTATATCAGTATAAATTACAGGGCAGAATACGTCAACAATATGCAATAAAATAAGGAATGGAAGGTTCTAACACATCAGTTCAATGCAACAAAACCAGAACTTGGCCATGACACTTAGTCATAAGCCAAAGGAATGAACCTTAAACATGGACTTCGTGAGGCTGTCCAACATTTAGAAAACTATTTTCAATTTCTATGCTGGATCTGGTCCAAAGGTTTTAAAATAAAAAGTACAACTGGGTATGGTGTGAGGTCCTGTCAAAAAAGAGAGAAACAAAAATATTTATCTTGTAAATTAAACCAGTTACTGGTTATATTATTAAGAGAGATAATCCCTGTAGTGTTCAACAGATAAGGGGCAGAGTTGTGACACCTACAGAAGGGAACATCATGCTGGCTCTGTGCTGTGTTCCATGGGTCCTCGTTACACACTTCACACATTGACAATAACACTGAAGAATTCTGTAGTTAACCCTTTGACGTGGTCATTTAAATTCCGCGGCCGCGGCTCCTGCGGTAATATATTCAGCCGGCCATTTAAATTTTGCTCGAAAATTATTTATTCATCATTGTTCTTAAATTCTATGAGATAGGAACATGAAACTTTCACTAAAATGATCTTAAATGGTGGTTTTATAACCTTACCTTATAATATGGGCGCCCTGTATCTCGGCCATGGAAGCAGGTTGTTTAGTATTTCAGCAGTGAATGGTACGCCTTGAAGGATGAAACTTTCACTAAAATGATCTTAAATGGTGGTTTTATAACCTTACCTTATAATATG